TTAATAAAGAGAAAGAAATGAGTCCGTCACGTCGCAGCTCGGCATATGCACGCTTGGTGATTGAGGTAATTGATGCCTTCTTAGGATGGTGTTAGAGTCCGCGTCAGTCGCGCGATCACGCGAATCGCAAAAATTGCAAGTGAACATTTGAAACACTGAATATGAAACAAGTAGAATCATGAAGCAGTCGTCATTCAGCCATCACCATCAAGCAGAAATGGCGGCAGGATTGGAGAGCACCTTGCAGTATTGATCGGGCACTTGTGATTTCTGTGATCGGAAATCGCGCGGCGGTTCGCGGACTCTGACACCAGTCTTTGGCGAGGAGGGGAACCCTTTTTTCTGCAGTTTTCACGCATCTGTTCACTTCTATTACCCATGCGCTCCGATACAACCATAGTATAAAAAAGGAGTATTGTTCAGAAATTGTTTCAAAACAAATCAATAGATTTGTGTGGAATTATGCCACCGAATGGAGGACCGCAAGTGGCCCAACATCCCTATCATGTTGTTCATGAGGTCATCCACAGCAGATCTTCGTTTTTTGAGGTATTTTTGTTTTATTACTTTGAACTTCATCAGTGTTGGAAGTGCCAGAGGTGGAAAGAGAGTCCGGAGTGTAGTAGGGTGTGCGTGGAGGGAGTCATATATCGCGCTCGTCCCATATCAGCCCCGTCAGTGACATAGTTTTTATGGATAGTATTGTCTTTGAAGCTACACTGAAAGATAAGGTATTAAAAGATTGAACAGGCAATTATGGGCTTCGAATCACAGATTATAGAGATTGCTATTAGATCTGATGTTATACCCCTGTGACATGTTTTGTAGAGCTATCATATTTTAGACCATCCTAGAGGCTGACGACGGGCTTTCTAATGAGCTGTGGTTTGCGATTTGTCAGCAGGCAGACATGAGCCTTCAGGTATTATATACTTTTTACTTCAAAAATGGCTTATTATTTATCAATCAAATTTTAGCCAACAACTCAATCTGCTGATAGCGTGCTTATGCAGACCGTATCATTTTATGTAACGCGACTTTTGCCCACGGAGCACAATGTACCAAGTGTTGGCCGTGCTCCTTTGGTCAGTGAAATTGGTCATCGAAAGCATACTCCACGGGATCTCTTCCTGCCAACGTCTCCGGTATTGAACTCGATAAAACTAGGTACATACATGGCCATATGTTCATTTCCATAGTCTGAAGAGCCTGCTGTGATTCTCATTACTTTTCCAGCATTTCCTGTTTAAAGATATATACGAAACGTTACTAAACTGTACGTGGTAGTGTTGCTTTAGAGTCGCAGGAGTTCTTTTCGTCTTCGCTCCACCCACGACACTTGACTATATTTTGTAATTTCGTTAGCATCCTCTGCTCTACGAGTGATTTTCCATCAGCTAATAGATTGATGATATTGAGGTATTCATTTTGTCAAGTCTCCTTTACATTCTAATTAAGATAAAAGCTGATTTATGGGTATCCAAAATGTAAATTTTTAGATATCTTCTTAAGCAGTTCCATGTCTTTTGCCTCTATGACGTGACTGACCAAGATATGCTTGCTGTAAAG